CAGAAATAATATTGCAAAAAATGAACACTGATGTAGAAAACACGCACAGAAATTAACACAGAACGATAGGCAGGGATCAAATCAATCACATACTTGACGAGATAAAAACAGCCAAATTTGTAAGGCCATAACATTTGGGGGGAGTGGGGGAGGGAATGGGGGAGCAAATGGGTCGTTTCCTCCTTATCAAACTGCCCCTCGAAAGGAAAATGCAGGGGGAGAAAGGGCAGAGAGGAGCTGCAAATCAAACATGGGTGAGCAAATCCTGCAGGCAGGAAATGCCTCTTCCTGCCCCAAATCTGAAATACCCTCCCTCGGCGTCCCCGTCTTAATCCTCCGCACCTTCTCCTCCAGTCCTTTCCCGAAATATCTTGACCCAAAAGGGAGCTGCCGAGCCGGCGTCCCCATCCGCCGCCCGTCATCCCGAAGTGCCCCACGTTCGAACGGCATTGCCCCCAGAGCTCCATGCCACCAGCGTTGGCGAGGACGAGGCGGAGAAAAATCTCCCCGTGGAGGAAGAGACAGCGCTGGAGGAAGCGTCGGAGCCCCAAAGGGACCTCCAGACACCACCGAAGGGGCGTTGGCGGGGGAAAGCCCCAAGGCCCGACCTCGATGAGATATGAGGCATCCTGGCAAACGTTAACAGTAGCTGAGTCCTGAAACAAACGGGAAAGGGTATCTCAAGAGCATGTGCAAAGGGCCTTTTCTTTCCATGCCATCGTCAAACACATCTCGTTCCAAGCCAGATTCTCAGAGTTTTCTTTAACGAGATTTATTGAGAAGAAAAAGCAGGCGTCAGCAGAATTCCAGCAATTGCACCAAGGCCCATTTTGGACCCAAAATGTCTCTGTGAACGTTAGGATGGAGGTTTTTCTAATTCTCTATCATTTTTCTTATGAACCGGCAGAGAGGCCGGCTTCTTCACTGATCAGCTTGCTGTTTCTGTTGTGGTCCCCAGGACCTTCATCCATCTAGGACCCATCTCTGACCCTGGGCGTGGGTTCAAGGGGTGCAGCTCAGAGGATAAAAAATGCAGAACCATAACACCCAGCAACTTCAGGATGAGGGATGCTGGGAACTGTAGTCCAGGAACTTGGGGAGGGTGGCAGATTCAAAGTCTTCCCCAAAAGTTGGAGGCTAAAATGATTGATGTGTTTCTGGTCATGCAATCAGAAGGGGAGAAGAAAGGAAGGAAGTGGGGTTCTTCCTGTTCTTGTTCTGGTCGCCCAGCAGAGCCCTGGGACAATAAAGAGTGCCTCTGAGCATAGCTTGAGTGCATGTTTCCGCTTGTCTATCAATGACCATGACCCATGCAATTCTGGGAACTGAGGATTTTAAAAAAAACTTGAATTCTCCCTTCTCCTCCCTTGCTGCCATCAGCAATGACTAAACCTTGCAATCATTAAAAGATTTCTCGGAATTTGCAGCCTTTACCAGCACAGGGGCCTCCGAGAAAAATGCGACGATCACGACCCACTTGTTGGGATGAGCAAACGTTGGACCTTTGCTCTCGGCCTGGCCCCTCTCCCCGTTCCCTCTTTCGGACCGTGATGCGCTGCGATTGAAATTATTTTTTAAAAAAAGACAAAACGGGAGTGAAAACACAGGACGGTCGACCGCGAAGTCATTTCCCAGGCGAGCGACGTAAAAGATGCTCAGAAAGGTGTGGGCAGATCTGTCACCGACCAGCTGGGAGCGAAGCAAGCATGAAATGAAATGCTCTTCCAAACAAACAAACTTGGATTGTTCCGTCCTCCTTGGAAAGCAGATTCAAAAGCCACGGCTTTTCTCCCGTTCTCAGCGTCAGCGGCTGCCAGACCGTGGCCCGGCTGTGCCTTGCGGTAAACCCCAAACCAGGGTTTGACCAACCCTCGTTGCTCACTTACCAAGAAGGTGCTGATTCCTCACCCTAAACCTCGCTAGCCTCCTTTTAGCCGAATATACCATGTGCCACAACCTTGTACATTGGTTGACGCTTCACTGGCACGGTGAACTGGGTTCAAGCGGGTTCAGCTCACCGTGGAAAGACGTGCCAATCACCGTGATCACGGTCATCTTCTCTTTTAACACCTTAGCTTTATTAAAAGCACCTGACAGGTGGATGTCCTAGCCTTTGGCCACCCTTGGTCGAAAACTGCCTTTATTCTGAATTCGGAAAGTGCTGGCAGGGACTGGCGGCTTCCCACTTCCTTCCCAATGGGCTTTTCCCCCACCAGATTGAATTTCATTCATTTCTCACCGGCTGTGGTTGTCTCCTCCCGCCGCCCAAAAAAAACCCTCCAGCAGAAATCAGATGATCCTAAGTACGCTTGGAAGGGAAGGAGTCCTTTTAACATGCAAAGAATCGCCCGAGGCTTAACCCATTTGCTTTCAACCTCAGTCCCCCAGCTTTTCCAGGGAAATCTCATTATAGCCAGAGCTGCAATTAAGATGCTGCTCGGCCAGATCCCCGGGGAAGATTTCCTGCCAGTCCCCCAGATTCAATTTATCAGCAGCTGCATTTGGGACGGAGCTGAGCCGGCGAGCAAAAATGACAGATTGGATCAACCGGGAGATCTTCTTGAGAGAAAGGGCCGCATTTCATGCAGACGTTGCTATTGTCTCATCTCCAGCTCAAAGGCTGGGAGTCCTGCTGAGATCTCGTTCTCGTGCGTTTTGGGGGGGCTGTTTGTCCAGACGGGCAACCTTAATTTAATTTGGAGACGGGCCCATTTGGGCCACTAGAAAGGGGATTTCTCCTGGCAGGGAGAAACAGAGAGGAAAAGGTGACGGAGAAGGTGAAGTCAGAAATTGCGAGAAGAGGAAGCCCCTCCTACTTTTCACCAAGGCTCCTCCCACTGGCTTCAGCCCCACCCACCACGGCTGGCATTCCTCTAGAGCAGGGCTGTACCACTTGGGGGGAGCAAGGACAGCCCCCAGCTTGCAAACAGCGTGCCACCGATCCAGCAGGGCCAAAGCTTAAAGTGATTTGTCTCCATTTCCTTTCACTCTAAAAGGAATTAAAATATAATTCATTACACTATTTCTGCGGTTTGGGTTCTTTTCCTTTAATCCCGTTCGGGATTACCGCAACGCTGGGAGAAAAGATGGGGGCTAACCCCAAAGCTTTCTGGGCATCCTGCTGTGTGCTAAAGAGAAAAATAGCCTTGCTAGACGCAATTCTCGCTTAATTCGGATTTTACTCTCTTCCACCTTCTTGATCCGGGTGAAGGCACCGTTTCTGTTCAACGTCCAACTTTGGCCTGTACCTTCCTATCCAACTCGCCCTGTTAGCAGAACAAGATGCGAGAGAAAGGCTCTTTTCTGCCAACACGAAAGCAGCCGAAAAAGCAGGATGAGATTAATTTTCATTTGCAATAAGACAGACGCGGGATTAAGTTTCTCCTCTCCTGGGGAGCCACCAACGGGCCCGACGCCGTCCTTGGAGAAGCAGCAAAATCAGGCAAGGAGTTCCAGCAAAGTCAAAGGAAAAAAATAAAAACAAACTTTCTTCCAGAAGAGCAGACCATCTTTTGACGTGGCTTGTATTAATCTCTTTTTTTTAAAAAGAGGAAAGGACAGCGCAAAAGTAGGGCATCTGAATCTCAATTCTGCCCGACAGAGGAACATTAAAATTCACTGGCTCGACCTCCAACGCGAGGATCACATTTTCCCGAGGCCGTAAATTCTTCAGCCCCCAAGCTTTCAGAAATATTAATTCCTATTAAGACCGATCCGGTTTCCAGCCAGACGTCCGCGATTCCCCACGCCCATCTGCGTCTTTGCCACCGTTTAGAAATTCAAGGGCGGTGTTTATTCTCTCCGCGAGATGGATGGGTCTCCCCGGCGCCTGAGAACAACAGCCTTTCCCCCCTTTGTGCTCACCTGTCGCGTTCGCCGGGAGAGATAAAACGCACTCGACAGATGGTGCTCCAGCCGAGAGCAAAATGTCCCGTTGCCTTATCAGCCAGGCCCAAACGGCGCTAATTCATAAATCATGCCGGTTCCAAACACCCCGGTTTGTGCCAGCCGGCTTTGTGCCTTAAGCTAAGCCCTAATGTGATTATTTTCGGCTTGCCACGCAATGGAAATAAGCCTGTTAATGGCGGAGGGGATGGTGCAAACTGATTTCACAAACCCCGATGAAGCAAATGGCAGAGGGCCCAGGGTAGAAGCCCGATCAAAGTTTCCGTGTTGGGTTCGGCTTAGTTGGGTGCACAAACCCTCATCTTGTCTTAAACCGAAGGGGGGCATTAAGCTGCCCACGGACCATGTTTGTTTCCCACCCCCCAGCTGCAAATCTGCAAATATCTCTCGCAGAAAGATTTTACGAGCTCCCCAAAGTGTCACCTTCATTTCTCTCCCTAGGATGTCGAGTTCGGGGGGGGGGGTCTGCAGGAGTTGGTCAAAAAAGTCAAAGTCGTAGCAGCAAAAGTGCAAAATCTGCCTGTTCGTTGTGGGGTTTTTGTGGGCATTGCAAACTGTGCAGAAGGCAGTCTCTTTCACAAGTCAAAAATGAATAAAAATGGCATTCCCACAAACGGGCCAACCGCTTGAAAAAGGGACTGAAACCAATTGGGGGGGGGTGTCCCGGCTGACTCATAATACATTCAAATCGAATCAAATCTTTATCACGGTCACAGACCAGCATAATGGTCACACGTTAAACGGAGGGGCTAACTCAAGCCTCCCTGTCCAGGAGCAGTCTACCGCGCCAAATACCGCCCTGCTTTCTCTCTGCCTGGCGTGAATTCGTCGGCTTTTCTAAGGACTTCTCCCCTCCCCGCCGTTGGATCGGGGTCTTCCCCCGGGGTGCAATTTTCTTGGATAGAGCACTTGATTCCGAGGGTTGGGCTGGAGATGAGGGGAGGACGACCCATGGGGACCGGAGGAGCGAGGCAAGAATAGTGACTTGCTTTGTCCATCAAATTGTTCTGCTGCCTTGATCAATTCTAATAATAACCAAAGAATTGCTATTAGATATTAGAAGGGCTGGGGGGCGCCCGTCAAAAATCAAGCCTCATTGGACCGGTCGCCAGCTCCGACCCAGCGGGATATTGCTTGCAGCCACCGCTGGGCCTCGTCCAAAGCGACGGATGAATTGAACGGCACGGCTGAATTCTTCTCCTCTGCCAAATTGCAAATGCGTTAAAACCTCCGGAGACCATCTGATTGGCAGCCCCTTGCTGAAGCAGCCCCCTCCCCCGAAATCCGGGCCACTCACCCGCCCGAACATCCTTTGCTGGTCTGGCTCCCTTCCACCCCCGCTAGAAGCTCATTCCCCAGGAAACCAAGTTTGGGGGTGCTTCGTCTTCCGCACTTGAAGCCCCCCCCCCGGCGGCTGGCGTGGGCTGCCAGAGAAACACTGCCAGATGCACCCTCTTGCGTGAAGCCAGCGAGGAACCTTCCAGCTTCAGCACTGTGGACAGCTCCCGGGGGCGCCGAGACGTTGCTCTCCCGTCAAACTGGTGAGGTCAACCATGGAGCGGGTCCGCTGGAGCACGGTGGCCCTTCTCTTCTGCCTGTTCTTACTGGCCCAAGGAGAGCCGGCTGGCCAAGCGCTCCAAGAACTGCCGCTTAAACACACGTACCCGGTGCACGAGAAGGAGCTGGTGAGTAGCCGAGGCTTGGTGGCGGGATGGGTTGCGGGCTGCCACGGGGGAGAACCCCGAAGGAGATGAATGACGGGCTGCTTAAACAGTCGCACGGCATGGATTGCTCAGAAGGGCAACAGAGAGACCCGGTCCCCCCTTGGTGGTGCCCATTCCCACATGCATAAAAAGGAGGACGGTGCCAGAAACTCCCTAGGAATAAGGTCCCCACCAAAGCGGAGAAATAGACCTAACCCCGCATGTGTGGAAGGGCAGCGCCACACATCTCAACCAGAGGGACAGGTCAAGCCTTTTGTGACCTGGGCCGCTGTGGAGAGGCGGCTAGGGGATGATGGGTGCTGTAATCCAGCGCGCCCAGAATGTGCCAAATTAACGACGGCTGTTTTGAACAATTCCGATCCAGAGAGCCTTAGCGAGCGACTAGGATAAATCTTGTCTCGGGGGAAGATTTTTTAAAGGGGATTTGGAAGGGTTTTCCTCTCCTTCTTAGTAGTTTAGCAACTTCAGCAGCAAGAGCCGCGTCCGAGACAAATCACCGGAGACATTTTTAGCCGCAGTCGGGCGAATCCACGTCCTCCGTTCGGGCAAACTCGGAAAATAGGATGCGTTGGGAGAGCCCCCGTTCCATTAACCCTGGACGAGCGTGTTACGCAACAAGGGAGTAATCTTTATTTGGCATGTTGGGCTGAAAGGGGTTTGATTTCAGGAGCACGGCGTTTTAAGAACCTCGTTGCATTTCCTCGGGCAGGCAGGGTGGCGGCACGGAGCCTCCACGTTCAGGGGCACTGTACCTTGCCCCAGTTTCTAAGGCACAAAGAATAAGGGGAAAGGACGATGGGCTTTCCCTTTGGGGGCAATGGGGGGGGCTGTCGGTGGGCCTTAAACCGTTTGCTATGTTTAACCTATTCCAGCTGGAAGAACTCCAGGAGGTGCTGGAGAAGCTGCAGCATAAGAAGGTTTCTCCTTGGGAGAAGAAATTCAACCAAGTGCCCAAGGTAATGGGGAGGGGGCTGCCCCACAAGTTAGGGGGGCATCTGCATGACTGCTCCATTTCTGATACCCTTGCGACAGTCCAGAGGCTGAGCACGACTCGTGCTTGCACAGGAAACCAGATCCCAGAATCTTAAACTTGGAGGTACCCCTGAGGTCATCTAGTCCAGCCCCGTTTGGCACGGGGTTCTAGCTGCTGTCGTCAGGCGACAGCTGAAACAAGCGGGCTCCCTTACACCCTGCTCCGCTTTAGCCTAACCTCTGGGAAAGAGAACCCACCCTATCAACCGCCCGCCCCTATCAAGAGCAAAGGCGAAGAAAGGGGGCAGAGACCCAGGGGGATGGGGACTCACCTTCTCCCCCTCCCTTCCAGTGCTCCTTCGGCGACCCCTGCGCCATCCGAAAAGGCGCCCGCATCGGCAAGCTGTGCGACTGCCCCCGCAGAGCGGCCTGCAACGCCTTCCTCCTCAAATGCTTGTGATGCACGATTCTCGGCCCGTCGCCCGTCCGCAACTCGG